CATACTCATTCATAGAAGATGTATTCGCTTCAGTAGCCATCTCTTTGACTGGGATTAACTTTTACCATGGTAGAAAGAGTAACTTTTGCGAAGCTGCAAACGAGACCGCTGAGTTCGCCAATCAATATGTAGTTCTTGACAACGTGACAGTCAAGTGTGTTTCCAGTCGGCGACGATATGTTTAGGTTGGAGCAATAAGTTTTTCAGAAGACATGCTGAATCTTGAGCAAATCCATAGAAAGCTTGGGAATAGTGATGTTTACTTGAGAAAAAATAGGATAATAGCGTTTATTCTTTAATAGGAAAAGGCCTCAACAGAGTCAAATTTGGTACTCGTCACCTCCGTGTGCTTATGCGCATGCAGTAAACCTGAATCTAAAATAAAAAGGTGTCCTAACAGTAGAAAAAGGTGGAGCGATGTCCAACAAAAACTGTTTCAAGACCTCTTCATCAGGCCAAGACCTCTTGGTCAGATCGTCATCTGAGTTGATGGATTGGCTGGAATCAATAGTTCAAAACATGGCCCCATGGCTTCTCACGATTTTGTGAATTGAAAACTCGAATGTTATTCCTGGTTTATAGTCATACTCTGAAATTTTTCTTTGTGGCAGTTAAGGCTAATAACCTAGGGAGAAGGAATCGTATCAGTTATTACTGTTAATGCTGAGTTTTCACTCGCAGGCATTCAGATATCTGAAGGTGCGACGTTTTTTTTACAGGAGTTCGAAACCTTCCACGTCTTCGGAGTCTGAAAAACAATCCTCATTATTGAGTGATGCGCCGCCACCAAAGAAATTTAAGTAAGTATTACTTTATTTTTTGGAGTCTCCAGTACAATGACTCAGCAGTGGTAAGTATGCTAGAGAGATACCACATTGGTGCCAACTTTCTCTTTCACTTTTGAGGAGCATCATGTCATTCTTTAAAGTCTCTAATTACTCTTCGTGATTCTCTCGTTGCTTATCTTTCTCTATATTGCGCTTGTTGTTATTGTTATTGTTTATTTGATGTTTTCCTCTGTGTCATGTTATGTCTCGCTCCTGCTTGGTACTCACCTAGGCTTACTAATTCATCCCAGTTTTACTTCATTCTCTGGCCTCGGAGGTTCAACAGAAGTTTTTCAGAGTATATAGGTAATAGAGCTTATGTACAAGCTATTCTGTATAATTTTGATTTGCATGTTCGGAAGGCCTGTAGGGGATAGTAGCAAGTGGCGTACTATCACATATGCATGGTCACGGATTCGAATCCCAGGTCGATATCCACCTAGTTCAACCAAGCCTACCATCTTTCTGGGGTCGGTGAACCAGACTTGTACGGAAGGATAAAAACACTGAGCTGTACGTCGGCTGGCTACCACAAGTCATGGTATAGGACACATACGCATACAAAACCCACTACGATTCTGAATTAAAATCGATGCGATGCAGATTCCTCAGACGGAGTCAGTTGAATTCAGAATTATTCTTCATTTTTTTGCCAAAAAAGGCTTTTTGATCTCTGTTCTGTTATGTTCACCTCGAATTTGCACATTTCAAGCATACAAAAGAGGGTAGCCAGCGAAGTGAACGATGCTGTCTTGTTTTTTGGATAGAACACTGGAAGATATTCGTTTAATTGAAGCCTCTGTTGCCATCTATATGACCATTACACTATAGGGTATGCCTATTTTTCTTTATGTTCTTGAGACTCTTTGGCTTCGAAAAAAAAAGTATTTTTCTTCAAAGGCACCTGTATTTTCAACCTAACTGGCGATCCAATTGCAACATGGTTTTTTCTGATGTGCTTTAATTCAGTGCACAGCCGCAAGTGGATTTTGATGGAGAAGATATCACCTTGACCCCAATTGAATCGTAAGCAACTGGATTCATGTAGCATACGCCTTTTCAAATTTCTCTTTCGTTTTAATTCGTAAAATTCTTTCTGGAGTGGATTTCAGGAGGCGAAATAACGCTTTCGCTTTTTTTTCAGAAAATCGAAGCGAGTTGCAGTGAATAATCCTGCAATATCCACCACTCAAGGACATCGGCAGAGCCGTGAGGTAGCAGTTAGTAGGTGAGCAATGATTCTTTACCCTTATGATCCCTGCCGTACTTTTATGGTCTTTGGGTCGTGCTAAGGCGCAAATCCTCACTCATAATCTTGATTCGCTTAAGGAATACAAGGTCGTCACACAGGGAGCGCCACTCCGCATCGGATACTGACACAGGAGATGGGCCTGAGTTGACTTCCTCTACTTTGGCTGATAATCTGACGTCGAGGTATTTCTAAAAGTTCTGTGGACTCATCAGCAGTCTTTTCATACTTCGCATATTTATGTCTAGGTATGGAGAAGAGAATGTCCCAACCACGTCGTCATCCTCACTTCGGAGATCAGCTAGGGAGCCTAGGCCAAAACGAGCTCTCAGTCCTACTCCAACAAGCCCAAAACGCCGGCCTCGTGTAAAAAAGCCGAGCTTAACTCTTATGCAGGTGAAGATAAATATAACTTTATCATAATGAATGATCTTAACTGATGTCACTTTTCGCCATGACTTATGACTAGATTCATCTACGTTACTGGCTCTCTTGCAGGGTGACGATCTCAAGGAAAATGAAACTGCATGGACTGAGGAAGGATCTGGCTCTCTTGCAGGGTGACGATCTCAAGGAAAATGAAACTGCATGGACTGAGGAAGGATCGGAAAAGGGTTTGTGTTTGATATATAAATACATATTAGCTTGCAAAGGAAATACTGCCGTGCAGCATCGGTGATTTCCATCGATATTTTCTAACTCTGTTAGGTTTCGAATTTCATGGTTGTGCGGTGTCGCACCCATTAATCGCTTACATCAACTGCACAAATGTCGGTTGTTTCAGTCGATACTGACCGATTCTTCAAATGTAGTCCTGTTCATTTTACTCAATATTTGTCTATTTACTCCACGAATTCTCCCCTGTTCACATCCAATTTCTCGATCTTACGCTTGAAGCCTATTGAGCATCCCAACCTCGAAATGTACATTCTATTCATGAAGGCGCTTGCACTCCATCGAACAACACTTGTTTTAACCCAACGTTTTTTTTTTTTTNTTTTTTTTTTTTGATTTAATATCGTTGCAGCGTTACTCAAAGAAATCTTCAGTGTTTCCAGAAGAATGCCATCCATATTCACTCACAATGACTCAAACATAGCAAGCCAAAAAAACATAGCATTTTCCCGCTGGTGATATACCTTAGAAAGTCGTAACTCGGCCGTTTAAAGCAGTGATTATTCGTTGTGGATGGCACTAAGCATTTGTAGAACAAACTACTCAATGTGTTCATATTTTCATCATCACAATTACAGACTTGCTGTTCATTTCTATCCTAGACCCAGTTTCTTATTAGGTTGAGGAGCAAATTACGAATACACTTGCATACGTACTGGTGATACTCATTTGTGCACACGCACAGCGCAGCAACACACAATACACAATACGGAACACCCTAAATATACGTACATACAGACACGCGCTGAGCGTTTCGTACATTATGAGTTTTGATGATAGCACGTATTCGCGCATCATGCAGTTCACGCTGCACAATGAAGTTGGTGTCGCGCACCTGATCCTCATCTTTAGCGTTGACGATTTCATGCAGTTACCATCGTTACCTTTCGAACGCTGTTAATGAACGAACTAAGGTTGCCCTTGTAAGGGGCTTTCATGAATAGTAATCTTCTCTCTTATTTCAAGAACATTTTTTATTCACATTTTTCCTGCTTTTGTGATGTGCAAATTGAATTACGATTTCTCAAACTTTGCCATGGCTAAGTTTTGTTCTCCACCGTGCATAAAATTCCGCCCAGTATTTGCTTTTCTCAATTTACTCTTGATCAGCTCTAGCCGTTCTTATTTCAAGCCAAATTTCGAGACACAAGCAGACTGACTAATAGTTTGTCTTTAGTGGGGGTGCTTTGAAGATTTCTTTCAATTTGCTCACGCTTGTTTCTTGTGATCTGTTCTTTCTTCAGGAAACGGAAATGTAGGTCCATCATTGCCAACCTTCTATCAGAATTCTTCGATAAATGCCGTGAGTTTTCGGTGTGATTCATATTTTTTTCTTTGTAGTAGTATATTAACATACCCTCTTAATTTTTTTTTAAATTTTACGTCTTTTGCTTTCGTGAGGTCCACGAGATTTCCATCGGCAATGATTTTGCCAGCGTTTGTGAAAAATTTTTCGTTTTCATAAACAGTCCATGACTTACCTTACAGGTAAGAGATTGGCTTGTTAATGTCTTTACGAATGTTATACAAGAATTTGGTGGACGGATTTGATTAATTCCCTTGATAGTAGTTTTTTTCCATCGCAACGAATATACGTTTTTTATTTTTTTTTTCAAAAAAAAAGGAAGACAAAATAGCGAGTTCCATTCTGTAAGCAAAAATGTGTTCTTTGTTGTACGCTCGCCCTTAATGAGCTGAATGAGTAGTTTAACAGATTAAGGTTTACGAGTGGAGTGTGTTACGGATTCCTCTTCAATTTGTAGTTGAGGAGTTTTTCTTGCGCCTATGTCGTTCGTTTGCACTGACGCCATTCTGAGGGAGTGACTCCCTTTCGTCGCTGACAATGTACACAGTAGTTGGCTAATGTGCGCTGTTAAATAACATCTTGGACATATAGAAAAATATAAGGCTTCAACAGCTAGTAAAATTAGGGATTGGACTAGTGCGACAAAAATGGCATGGAAAGGGTATTTGGACGAGCTGTCCATATGTGAGTGCCATTGCGTATATCTGGCTACAGTAAGCTTCCTTCATGCAAAGACTGGGTCAAGGTGCGAATGGTGTAACCTCTACGGCTTTTACGACGCCTAACAATTCGTCCGCCTTGGGTATGTAGGCGGCTAAGCCGGTTTTGAGAGCCTTTATTACACCCTGTTCAGGCCGTTTATCGGCACGAGGAGTGCTTGGGCTAACCTTTGTGATCACAGGTTCGCCCTAGGAAGAAATGCCAGGAATCGTTTTAATCACAAACTGTTCCTCTAAACCTGACGGCACAACTGCTGACATTTCTGCAACCTTTTGGATAAGTTGTGCAGAATGCGGTGTTGAGTGGGCAGCATTCTCTTCATATTTGGATAACTTACATAATTTTAGAACATTTTCACCCTTCCGGTGAACGTTTCAAATGCCGCTTTTACGGCGGTGTAAACTTGCCGTCCACTTGCCCTCGCGCCCACTTTGTCTTTGGGGCACATGGCACAGACCGGCCCACCTTTTTTCCAGCCAGCGCTTGGCAGTAACCCACGTTCACCTTTGGATAAAAGCATGTAATCATGCGGATGGAAATTTTAGAAGAATTGTCAAACTAGTTTTCTGTTTTCATAGAAGACAGGTGATCAGATCTTGAGAAGTATTAATTACCATTAGTAATACGATTTCTGATATCAGGGGTTTGGCTTCTTCCTGAGTTTTTGGTTCCTGAAACTCATTAGCTTCCATTTTCTTCTTTAATCCCAGCGGTTTTTGAGATGTCGTTACGTTCCGTTAGTATTCTATCCCATANTCTCTGGCTAAAGATTGAATAGTCGTAGAATCTTTGACAACTTTCCATTTATGGGATAAGGGACTGCTCAGGGTGGGCGAGCTAATTGAATGTTCGATACACCACATTCCAGCTTTTCGTGCCAAGTAGCCAGCACACTGGCCCGGTGCTTCTCCAACTTCAAGGCTAATTGTCATTTGAAAAACTCTACGTCCCCAGGCTAAATCGCGTAGAAGCGCACAGATGGCCAGTGTCCATCCTATTTTCGTCTTTGACACAGTGTTGATATAACAGATTATTTACTTGTCTCTTACAACGTAACAACCTCATAAAGCTTTTTTTCAAGGATGAGGATCATGGCGTCGCTAGTTATGGACCTACCGACCCTTTGGAAGTTTCTGAAGGATGCAGCGATGAACAGGTTGTCGCCGATGACGATATGGAAAATGACCTTGTTGACATTCAACCGTTCGAGACTAACGAAGCAGTAAATGAAGTGTTTATGACAGCAAATTTCTCGAAGAGGGAAGCCGCTCAACACGTGAACGTAAGCGTGCTCACGTTGCCACAGCTTTCGGAGAACATCGAGCACTCCACAGAAGACCCATTGCCGCTGAGAGGTACCGATAGTTCAGTTCCTCTCCTAGAAAACGAGATCACCGTGAGATCGTCAGCCTCAGCCTTTGAAATAGATCAGGAGGGTACTGGATGTAGTTCACGAGAACGAGAGCTTGGCGAGCAGGGTGATTCTAAGCCAAACGTCGTCCATGATGACGAAGTGCTCGAGGTATTCAGCGCTGGTCGCTCTCAGTCTTATATAGCAGCCGGCGACAGAGATGATGACGAGGAAGATGCCGGCAGCCAAATGGAACCTCCAGTTTTGGATGGCCCTATAATAGATCCGTCGACCTTTGAACCAAAGCCCAGTGTCGATGCTCCACCAAAACTAATGGCTGATGGAGTTCTGTCGAAAGAAAACCCTAAACCAGTGAGTTATATTCCTGTAAAAGTGTCTCTTAAAGGGTTGCTTTTGTTTCGAGGTGTGTTTGTGCATTCTGATTGTGTCTGCTGAAACTTTAACCTATTCCAGTCATTTTTGTAGATGCACTACGTGGTTGGAGAGATTTACAGGGTTCATACGCCGAATGGCACAGAACAAGAAGTGCAGTTGGCTGTCATGGATGATGGTACGTCACTTGTTTCTTGTTGTTACTGCTGCTTTGCTTTTGTCCTACTAACTTCTCTGCCGCAGTAATCTAACGCGCTTCTTTTCATAATTAGACCACCGAGAGGATTTCTTTTCAAGGGTAAGGGCGTAAGGTTCACGTCAGCTGCATCTGTTGTAGCATCCATCAAATAGAGGGAATAAGATCTAATCAAAGTGTGTAGGGTGTGTCATGAACGGCTAATGAGGGAAGGCACTTGTAAGGGAGGAACGACCGTTAGATCGAAATGAAAGCCTGGAAAGTCATGGAAGACTCTTCTGAATCTGCTTCATCATAGGCTGTGTGACCTAGAAACGGTTTCTAGTTAGCCTTTTTGTTATACCATCCTTTTTCTTTTAGGATCAGAAGCTCTGGTGAATGCCAATGGAGAAGTAGTGGATTTGGCACCGGAGGATTCATACGCAACGGTTGACATTTGTGATATTGACTTCAATTTCCTGGACGACAAGAATATAGTGTGCGGGTTATGTGGGGAAGTCGTATTGTACGCCACGCTTTTCACGACTCATCTCACTCGAGTACATCCAGAGGTTTGCAAATGTCTCTTCGTTCAGTATACTTTTACATGTGCGTTTTCATTTTTGGCTTTTTTCAGATGCTGGATCCAGAATTGTTGGTCGGCCAGCTGCCTTACGTAGAATTTTTGAAGAGAAAGCTGGATTCCGAAAGAAAAAGCATACAAAATGGATTCAAGTAAGCGTTAATGTAGACGTGACTTTGAAATATTATAAGAAATTTTCTGTTGCTAGTCTTCGGTTTAGAATTGTCTTCCAATTGATCAAGAACCTATTGATTCCTGTGTTGGTAAATTACATGCTTGAACCACGATTAGTTGTTGCGCTTTAGGTATTCGAAACAGACAATATTGCGAAGAACTCCGCGAAGAGTCAGTCAGATTCGTATTAATCCTTCAGAAATGACTCTTCCTCAACTCGAGATCGCTTTGAGGAAAAAGTTACTGGAAAAGATGGGCCGCAGGGTAAGGACTTTATATTGCTTCTTGTATTCTATATTTGCTATCGTACTCTTGATGCTGTCATGCTCATAGTTTTGGGCTTGCAGGTGAAGGTGTCTCTTGTCGACAAAGAGCACGTCAAGTGTGGCATATGTAGCTCTGTCATCTCGATCAACAAGAAGTTTGAAGTAAGTTGTGCTGTCATACTCACTTGCATTTGAATAGCTTTCACAAGCTGGATTTTTTTCGTTGCTGTCTAAGGGTTCCATATGTAGAGGAAATTGGTTGCCCATATTCTAAATAGCGATTTTTCAAATTCTGATGGAAAGCATGTTATTTTTAGATAGTTCACGTAGTTCGGCACTTTAATGCTTGGCATCCTACTAATCATCAATGTGCCGGTCAGTGGCAAAAGCGAACACAAAGGCCTGGATTTGGCAAGCCGCTTTCAAAACAGGTCCGACATAGTTTATTTATGGGACATCAGGCCCATGTATTGAAGTAAGTCGTTTTGTTTCAGGACTTTGCTGTGATTGACTTGTCCCACACCCAGCCAGACAACCTACAATGTATTTGGTGTGGAATGTTTATAGATGCTACAACTATAGCGGTTCACTTCACAGATTGCCATCCTGGAGAAGTTGAAGTCCCGAAGTGTTTGCTTTGCATTCAGGTATGTCATTCCTAGTGAATATCAGTCGGGTCGTCCGACTTTGGTCGCGCTCCTCTTTCTCCTAAGCTGACTCGTCACTTCCTTTTAGGTCAAATGATACATTTCTGTTCACAAATTTCTAAAGGGATAACATTGGCATCACAAATTTGACCCCGTCTCTGAGGGAGGGTTGCTTGGCATTTACATAGCTGTGCAACTGGTAGTTGATACTAAGTGAGAATCAAGCTTATGGTTACGAGATCTCGGTTTCATGCTCATGATGTGAGCATTATTTCTTTAGCAGGAACTCTTTTCATTGTGTCGACAGGTGCAGTGACTAGATTGGTCAACGGAGACCTCAACTGGTGTGTATTTATGTCGTCGACTGATTCAGCACCATCATCAAAAGTCCTCATCCGCAACCCTCTTTATTTATTTATTTATTTATTTATTCATGCGTGCCACTTCACGCGCCTTAACGTGTACAAAGAGAACGACACAGTCATC